GGTGCTTGGGCCACATGGAGGGGAAGCTCAGGTGTCTAATGGATTGCAGCTGCCTGTTTGGGGCGACAACAGGCTTTGGAGCTAGACAGAGGGGACTTTGCACAACACTCCAGACATACTAAATGCTGCTGAATTGTTCACTTTAAAATGGTTAAACTTATGGTATGTGATGTCAACTCAATTTAAAAAACAAAAACTTTCTTTGATCCCACAGCCTCCTGTTACCACCCCATTTCCCTGCATCAAGACACAGCAAACAGTCCCAAAAAGAATTCACTGTAACCACTGGACCACCTCCATTCTCCCCTCTGCCCCTGCTGAGAGGGCCTGTGACTCACCACACCACCATAATGCTCTTTTTTTTTTTTCTTTTTGAGACCGAGTCTCACTTTTTCACCCTCAGTAAAGTGCCCTGGCGTCATAGCTCACAGTAACCACAAACTATTGGGCTTAAGCAATTCTCTTGTCTCAGCCTCCCAAGTAGCTGGGACCACAGGTACCGGCCACAACGTCCAGCTATTTTTAGAGATGGGGTCTCGCTCTTGCTCAGGCTGGTCTCATGAGCTCAGGCCATCCACCCACCTAGGCCTCCCAGAGTGCTAGGATTACAGGTGTGAGCCACCACTCTGGGCCTTTCACCACCATGTTCTTAATGAACTGATGATCCACATCTTGCCAGAGTCAACAGTCAACTCCCTATAGCTTCCCAGCAGCTTTGAGGGAATTGGCCACTCCTCTTGTTTCCAGGTTCTTTCTAGAAGCTTCCTTTCCTGACATCCAGCCACCATACCACTTTTGCCTGCCAGACCTCCCATGGTGAAGCGTCTTGGGGCACAACATGAAGCCCTCTTCTCTTCTCTGGCCACTGTCCATGGACGAGCTCATCTAGACGTGGCCTTGAAACATTCAAATCTATCCCTCTGGTGCAGACGGACCCCTACCCTGAGACCCTAACTCATGACCACACATTGGGGCAGTGCCCTCACTTGGCTAAGCTGCTCTCAAATGCAGCAGGTCCCAAACTGGACTTCCACTGTGCCTGCCCACATCACCCTTTCCTCTACTCCCCTAACCTCCACCTGTTTCAGCAGCAGCCCCACATGCTTCTGTTTGGCAGCATCTCCAGGGACTCCCCATGGCAAAGCCAGGCCCTGCTGCCCACATGGAGCCCCTCAGGATTCAGTTCCTGTCTTCCCTGTGCTCAGACATTCCTCCTGGCTCAGCAGTGTGACTGAGGCAAGAAGAGCAAGGCCTCGGTCCTCCTCCGGGTTCAAATTCCGACTCCACTGCCAACCAGCTGTGCCACTTCTCAGTGACAAGGCCACACCTGCCTCTCTAGGTCCTCCACCTCCGCCTTCCTATCTCCCAAGCACCTGTGCATCCCCAGGGCCTTTGCACCTACTACTCCTTCTGCCCAAAAAACTCTTTCAGAACTGCTGCGTCCTGTTCACTCTCATCCTTCAGGCCTTGCCTGGAACGTCTCCTTGGGAAGGCTTCCCTCAGCACCCTGCTCAACAGAGCCCTCCTCACCCCAGTGCCTCCTCCCTCTCGCTCCTTTTTCCCTTCTCCTTGTCCTGCCTCCTCCTTTCTCTCTCTCATGACCTTTTTTTATCTCACTTGTCAATTGGTTTTCAAATTCCTGTCTCTCTTCCCATTCAGGATTTCACTCCAGGGGGACAGGGACCTGTCCCTTTTCTCCACTGCTGCCTCCCTAGTGCCAGGAACAGTGTCCAGTACATCATAGGCACTTCATGGAGGTTTGATTACTGATGCCCGCCTGACCAGAGATGCCAAAATGCTCACTCACTGAGGCCCCTTCTGCCCTCAGAAACCTCTAGTGAGAGCAGATAGCCTCGCTCCTGCCCCAGTGGGTCAGGCCCAGCCTTAGACTTTGAATCTAACAAATAGGTCAACCATCTAGGAATGTTATGGGGCAAAATAAGGACCATTGACTCAAATTAGAATTTCAGAAAGGAGTCTTTTATTAACCGTTGGGCTGTGTCAGCAAAGTCTAAAGCAGACTAAGTGAGAGAGCCTTGAGAGGTCTGAAGTTGGGGTTTTTCTAGTCTGAAAGTTGGCAAAGGGCCAAACTTTCAGGTGGGCTGAAAGTTACAGTTAGAAGCAAAAAGAGAGTTGGCAAAAGAAGCAAAAAGTGAGCACGGGGTCACGATGACCCTTTACAGAAGCGAACCTTGCAATTTAGTGGTTTAGCCAACAGGTAACATAAAGGGCAGTTAGATGACAATAAGGTACATAATGCAGATCTAGCAACTAATGGATAAGTAAAACAATTTGTCACAGCACTTAGCTCATTAACTCTCATCATGACAGTAGGAGGCCCATTCATTCTGATCTTGTCCTGTTCCGGCCCGATCCAGACTGATCTAAGAGTAATGGTGCCTGTCATCATTTCAGAGTTATGGTATCCTAGTCTTTATGTCCTTTCATCTTTTATCCTACACAGCCCCCTGGTTCATATCAGTGGCCGGCAGTATCCATCTTATGGGGGTGATGAGGCAGCTGGCACCCATCTCAGGAAGTGTCCGCACATGGCACCTTCTGTGGCCCCCTGAGTCTAGTGGTAAGCACTGAGTTTCCTGCGGGGATGAGGGTGGGACCCTCTCCCGAAGCATCTTCTGCGTGTTTGCAGAGCCTGGTTCTGCACCTCTCCACTGACCTGATAGGAGATTCCTGCTGCTGTCTGCCTATGACATTCCTTCCCTACTGAGCTTTAACTAGGAATCCAACTGCCAGAAACCTCCATTATTAAAATAATATAAAGCTTTAGCATACGTAGTAATAAAAATATAATTTCTATAAGAGTATAGATATAGCCAGAAGTCAAGCAGCCACTGTTCTCTAACTTCCTTACTGCTAGTAACCGCTTACTGCTTGATGTGACCCACCCTCCTAACAGGTGCAAGATATGTGACTTCCCCAAATGCTTTTATAGGTAGTAATAATGTTGCTATTATAATGCCTGAGGCTGATATTTGAAATAGTTTTCAGATTCTGCATTTGGGGGTACCCACTGACGTCGTCTGGACCCATGGACAGGTGTGGGAACAGATCCAACAAGCCTTGAGACGCCCTACCAGTAAATCTCCCAACTGAGAAGACAATCTCTGCTTCTTTCCTATGAGTTAGTTTATCTCCTGCCAAACAGCAGACCCAATTCCCTAGCCCTTTGTTGGCCAAACCACTTTAAAAACCTTAGCCCCCAAATTCTTAGGGAGATGGATTTGAGAAATTTCTCCCATCTCTTTGCCTGGTATCTTGCAAAACAAAACTGTTTCTCTACCTTAACACCTGCTGTCTCAGTATAGATGGGTGGTGCGCAAGGGACCCAGTTGAGCTGTAATGTGCTCAAGCGGTTCCTTTGAACTATTACATTCGGGCCTCTCATAGTACCAAGCAATTTTGCTATGGGTCAGTCCTGATACATGATATATTTGACAACAAGAGAAACAGTTGAGAATCACATGAGTTCCTTCTGAGAGAGAAAAACCAATAAATGCTAAAGCAGCATTTAAGATCATCTCAGAATTTCAGCCATCCAACCCTCTTGTTCCTCCTCCAGTTCGGTTTAAGAAGGAAGAACAAGGCCTTGGTGCATGTACTATTGTAGGTTCAAACTCCAACTCTGCCACCAGCTGTCTGTGTGACTTTAGGCAACTGTCTTAACCTCTCTGAGCTCAGCTGCCTGATCTGTGTAGGAATTGTTAAATAAATAGTGACTGAAAAAAATGAGAGAGTCACACCCAGTTGAGGTTCTTTTTTTTTTTTGAGACAGAGCCTCAAGCTGTCCCCCTGGGTAGAGTGCCATGGCATCACACTCACAGCAACCTCCAACTCCTGGGCTCAAGCGAGTCTCCTGCCTCAGCCTCCCAAGTAGCTTGGACTACACGCGCCCACCACAACGCCTGGCCATTTTTTGGTTGCAGCCATCATTGTTGTAGATTTACTAGCAATGAGGTGGCTGGTGGTATTCTTGTGGCATTCTATTTGGTACCTAGTAAATCTACATCAGGTAAAAGGATCATTCAAAGAAGGGGGGCAGAGGAAATAGTCGATGTTGTGAGTCTTCTCAGGATGGCGAGAGAGTGGTAAGTCCCCACCATGCTTTGCATCTGTGGAGATGAACTCATAATCAACATTGCAGAGTTCATTCAGGCTACATTCCAAAGGTCACAGTTGGCATGCGATCACCATAGTGGCTATCCATCTAAAGCGTTCTTTATGGTTTTTAGGGCTACAGAAAATAAGAAATATTTTAACCCAAAATACATTTCTTGGTCATATTTTGAGATGTGATGGGCAAACAGAGTCATGCCATAAGGCAGCCTAGGTGGAGAGCCTCAGGTAGGAAACCTCATAGTAGACAGTCTCTGCTAAAGGCAGCCGGGCCCTTCCAATATGATCCAGGAGTGGTCTGCAGAGAGGCTGGCATCCTTAAGGTCTGAATAAAAACATTTCCCCAGGGCTGTCACGCTGAGGCTTATCTGTACAACAAGTCCACCTTGCCAGCCAGCCTTCCTTGTCCCTCCCATACCCAGTCCAGAGAGAAGAATCCCGGTTAGCCATTTATAAGCCCTTTCATTTCTTAAAAGTGGACACCTGCACCTCACGGGGGAAAGAACAGCAGTGCTTGTATAGTTCAGTTTCTCAGGCCCGGTTCTCCCTTTCAGCATAATGAATTTGGGGAATCCTGAAATTTTTATTTTTCCTTTACAGGATGAATAATAATGTGTGGACATAATACCCAACACCTAGCAGAGACTCGTAAATCGCAAATATTCTTAACTTCCACAGTCAAATGTGGGCGTGGGTCTGTGTAGGGCGAAATGCTCAGTATTCGCTGCTCCACGCAGGACAAGAAAAGACTTTCTCTAAGCCAAGATTTGGATATAAAAGTATAGACTTTATTTTGTCTTAGAAAGAGAGAGTGGATAACCCGTCCATTGTGCGCCGCTGCCCGGTGTCTCCCTCCAGCCGCGACCATGCCCAGGAAGGAGGCGGCGGCAGCGGCCTGGGAGGAGCCGAGCTCGGGCAACGGTACGGCCCGCGCCGGGCCCAGAAAACGCGGCGGCCTGGCGGGCAGGAAGCGCGAGCGACCGGAGCGCTGCAGTAGCAGCAGCAGCGGCGGCGGCGACGAGGACGGTCTGGAGCTCGACGGGGCCCCCGGAGGGGGCAAGTGCGCGGCACGGCCGGCGGCGGCGGGCAAGGCTGGCGGCGCGGCTGTGGTCGTCACTGAGCCCGAACACACCAAGGAGCGCGTCAAACTTGAAGGGTCGAAGTGCAAAGGGCAGCTTTTGATTTTGGGGGCAACCAACTGGGACTTGATTGGTCAGAAAGAAGTGCCTAAACAGCAAGCCGCTTACCGCAATCTTGGGCAGAATCTGTGGGGGCCCCACAGGTATGGGTGCCTGGCGGGAGTCCGGGTGCGGACGGTGGTCTCGGGCTCGTGTGCTGCGCACAGCCTCCTCATCACCACAGAAGGGAAGCTGTGGAGCTGGGGTCGAAATGAGAAGGGGCAGCTGGGACATGGTGACACCAAGAGAGTGGAAGCCCCCAGACTCATTGAGGGTCTCAGCCATGAAGTGATCGTGTTGGCAGCATGTGGGCGGAACCACACCCTGGCCTTGACTGAAACCGGCTCCGTGTTTGCGTTTGGGTAGAACAAGATGGGGCAACTGGGCCTCGGCAACCAGACAGATGCCGTCCCCAGCCCGGCTCAGATAGTGTACAGCGGCCAGCCAATTACCAAAATGGCCTGTGGGGCTGAATTCAGTATGATAATGGACTGCAAAGGAAACCTCTATTCCTTTGGGTGCCCTGAATATGGTCAGCTGGGACACAACTCGATGGGAAGTTCATTGCCTGGGCGCAGCGGATAGAGTACGACTGTGAGCTGGTACCCCGGAGAGTGGCCATCTTCATTGAGAAGACGAAAGATGGGCAGATTCTGCCCGTACCAAACGTGGTTGTTCGAGACATGGCCTGTGGCGCTAACCACACACTGGTCCTGGACTCCCAGAAGCGAGTCTTCTCTTGGGGCTTTAGTGGCTATGGCCGGCTCGGCCACGCGGAGCAGAAGGATGAGATGGTCCCTCGCCTGGTGAAGCTGTTTGATTTCCCTGATCGTGGGGCGTCCCAGATCTACGCTGGTTTCACCTGCTCCTTTGCTGTCAGTGAAGTGGGTGGTCATGTTTTTCTGGGGGGCTACCAATACTTCCTGTGAGTCTACTATGTATCCGAAAGTGGTACAGGACCTCTGTGGCTGGAGAATCCGGAGCCTGGCTTGCGGGAAGAGCAGCATCATCGTGGCCGCAGACGAGAGCACCATCAGCTGGGGCCCATCGCCGACCTTCGGGGAACTGGGCTACGGGGACCACAAGCCCAAATCTTCCACTGCAGCCCAAGAGGTGAAGACTCTGGATGGCATCTTCTCAGAGCAGGTCGCCATGGGCTACTCACACTCCTTGGTGATAGCAAGAGATGAAAGCGAGACTGAGAAAGAGAAGATCAAGAAACTGCCAGAGTACAACCCCTGAACCCTCTGATGGTCCTGGAGACTCCTCCAACTCCACACCTCTCCGGGCAGCTGTCATTTCCATGTGCACTGGGATGTGAAGTCAAAGGAGGAATTGAAAAAAGCAAAAGTTGACTGAAGGTGCATTTGTTAGACTCCCTGAAGTTCCGTTTTATAAGTGACCCAACATTAACTACCTTTTTCTGTATGCTTTCCAAAGTATGTTTTTTCTCTCTTCATGTTTAATTAAAATATTTGCTCATGGTTGACTTACCATTCCTACAAAAAAAGGCAGAAACTTTGAGCAACCTAGGTTTTTTTTAAGTTGCTTTTTCTTTTTTCTTCTAAGTCTACTTCCCAAAACACCATTTCCAGTCATGATTAGCATTGTGATCTGAGTGGGTGCTGCGTGGAAGAGGAATCACCATTTACTCAGAAAAGATGTCCTGTACCGGAACCAGCAGCATCCAGGCAAAACCGCACTTGTGTCCTGGAGCACCCTGGTCACGCCTTTCCTGCTTTTTCTTGCAGACCGGCCGAGGCCTGCGCTTGTTCTGTTTCTCCCCACGGCTGCTTGCGAGGTCCACGGCCTTCTGGCTGCACCGTGAATAGAATCTGCCGTCCCCCCTCCCCAGGTGGGGGTTTGGGGTCTGTGTTTAGCCATTTTTATCTCCTTCAGCTGTAAAGGAAACCCAAACGAAAATCAGGTGATTGTGGAACCATGGGGACTTGGGGGTGGGGCAGAGATGAGGAATATTTATGTCTTCTGCAAGGTCCAGCTTTGTGGCTCCCTGCAGAGCGGGCCTTGTCACTAGCACTCGCCAATTAGAGATTTATCAGCCAGCAGTAAAAAGTGCTTTCTCCAGTCCTTGCAAAGAAGGATCAGCTATTTGTCATACCAGCCTTTATCACCTTTGTGCTTCAGTCTTTTCTTTCTCTTCCCCCCGCCTGGATCCTGCTTACAATGGGCTGTCCTATTTCTGAGACTTGGGGTACCGTTCTACTAACCCAGCTCTCTAGTTGCATTTGCTTGGCTCTGGTACCAAATACTTGGGATTACTGAAGAAGTCCCCCTTCCTGTGTGTCAGCGCCGATGCTGTGACTGCCACCCGCTTCCCATCAAGTGCCCTCTGCCTGAGCTCGCCACCAATGTGCGCTGTGCTGCGTGAGTTACGAGGTGCCTTTCCCGGAACCCTCCGCTCACTTGGACCCAAGAGAGGTGACAGCTGTGGCTGGGGCTCTTGGTTTCCAGAGCGTCTGGACTGGTTTGGGTGCTTTAAAATAGATTTTTAGTTCAGTGGTGCTTACGGGGGAGGTGGGGGTAAGACTTCAGTGTGAGACTGGGGTGGACGGGAAAGTTCCGTATTGGTCTCTCTCAGTTTGCTTTGCTTTTGCTATTGTTACCATTTGTCATTGTCTCGATGTTAAAATGCCAAAAATGATCTAGTCGTTGTTTTTTCCCTGTCTTCCACCCCCGTCACTCCTTATTATGGTGACTTCTGCCCTAGCAGGGCACATAGCAGTATCTGTCCTGGCCAGTTCTAAGACGCTGCAGGAGGAGACTGGCCTGCATCTTTCTGAGAGTTATCATGCTCATCTCTTTGTCCTATGTCCAATCAATAGTCCAGGGGAGAAGCTTCTGCAACTTCAGAGCTTCTGCTAAACTAACTTAATTTGTCCAAATCACCCCAAAATCACCATCTCCAACTCAAAACTTCCATGTGACAACCTAATAAGTTTCCCTGGATAGGCCTTCACTGGCACGCAGCTCAGACAGCTGTGCTCTGTGTCACCAAGAGGGTTAAGGAAGCAGCACCCTGGGTCTTGGCCTTTGCAGAAACCTCCTTGTGTGGAGTTGGGCCTAAGGCCACCCACGAATCCGCCTCAGCCTCTTCTTGAACCCTTGCTAGGGACAGGAGCAGGAAAAGGACCTTCCAAGTGAAGACTTCCCTGTCCCCTGGCCCCATGTACCTCCCTTCACTTCCTTTTGGCTTAGAATTTAAAATGAACTTCCTAATGAGGAAGATCCTTTCGAACAAGGGGGAGGGGTGGTCCTGTGCTCCTGCAGAAAGGTACCCAGCAGCCTGGCTTGGCTGGGGATGTGCTTGGCGCTGGCCCTGTGGGTTGTCTGGCCAGTCTTCCAGCTCAGGAAGGAGAATTTAAAAGACAAGGCATAAGGGTGCGGAAGAGCTGAAGAGCAGGTTGTGATTTGGTCGAAGGTGCCTGGTTTAGTGCTGTAATTGTCATATATATATATATATATATATATATTTCTTGGAGTAAACATTTTAAATAAATGGCATCATTGTTTACTGAAAAAAAAAAAAGAAAGAGAGTGAGAGAGGGAAAAGATAAAGATAGCAGGGAGATGGCCTTGTTGGAAAGGGAGATAGTTTGCAGAAAAGAGAGGAGGCCAGTTCTGAGACCAAAGAGGAGTTTATTAAGGAAAAGAATAAAAGTGTGGTGTGAAGCAGTCAGCCTGCCCCTTCCCGGTTCAATCCTGACAAACAGAGGGGGACCCCAGGGAAGAAGCTTGAATATAGGGAGCCTCAGACCACTTGCCCTTTTGGGCCGTGAGATTATCAAAATGTCAAAGGTTTAGATTCAAAATGCCATTTTCAGGCCATAGGAAGAGACAGCCCAGTGAAGTCTTGGGGAATGGACTGGCTACCGCCCATGGTGTGTAGGTGAGGGAGAGGATGAATGGGGCAGGCTCACCATGAGAAGGTGGATTGGCTCAGCGCCTATGGCTCAAGTGGCTAAGG